AGTGATCTAGCAAATGTTCTCATACATGATTCATGGAGTCAGACCCAGAGAGGCCTCACACGGAAGGAGAAGGAAATGTCCAGAAGTACATGTCAGGAAATAGCTGTATGTTTGAGCAGAAAAATCGGCTGAATAGAAGTTTGATTTATGGATTTTTGGCACAATTTTTAAAGTTTTTTTATAGTTTCTTCAATAATTTAAGTTCTTTAACTTGTAGTTTCGGTCCCACACTTTACCCCCCACCCTACATCGAAAACAAGAGACTTGTGTGAAACTGTTGACGTGATGTGTCAAGCTGAAAAGGAGGTTGGTCTTTACTTAGTCTCTACTTTGTTTTTACGGCAAAACTTTACCAGAGCCTAAAAAATACATTGTTCAGTGGACCAAGAGGGAACACGGGGCACTGTCATTAGGAGACACACAGGACTTTATCCTCTGGGATGGGGGGGGGGGCTATGATTTGTAGAGGACACAGTTTTTGTATCTGTAAACCACCACAGTTGGTTTTACATCAGACAATTAAGATGTGAGTGCAGACGTGTGAGTTTCAGCTTTATTAGAAAAACCTTTGCATGAACTTTTTGGGAATATTTGGATATTTTTATGCACATCCCCAAATTTTAGAGGCTTAAAAGTAAACAAGTTAAAATGATTTTGAATGTTTTTAATACTTGAATGAAAACAAGACCAAATGCTGCATTTTTACAGGTTTTTACTGCCGTCACCTTCAGTTGCTGCTTGTGGGTCTCTCTGCCTTCTGTTTTCTATTTAATAACTGAAAAGCTGCCCTGTTGGGTTGAGATCAGCTGACTGGCTGTTAATTCCATTTCTTCACCTTGAGAAACTCTTGGGTTGCTTTTACTGTCTGCAGCTGCTGTTATTGGGTCATTGAAGGATCTGTCCTAATCTGAGCAGAGCATATAACCATATACACTTCATAATTCATCCTGCTGCTTCTATCAGCAGTCACGTGATTAATGAACACCAGTGACCCAGTTCCACCCGTGACAATGACACGCCCCGAGAGTGTTCTTGACATGGTTAGATGTTGTAAAATAGTTTTTCTGAACAATGGAAAGAATTCTGTGATCATGCACTTCAGGCCGGTCCATTCATTGATTTTACCAGACTGTTGATTTTTTACTTGCTCTCTCTCTTCTTTACAGTGAAAAGCTCTATAATACAAATTCAGCACTTTGAGTAAATTTCTGATGTCTGCTTCATTTGTAATCAAGTAACAAAGAAGCGGGCCTGACCATGAAACTGCTTTGTCCTCTGAAAATGTGAGACTGTGTATAGAAACTATGGTCTCATAGTACCTGTGAGACCAGGCTGCTATCGCCCTGTAAGAAGCAACTGGATATGCATGAAGGCAAAGGCAGGGAGACAGATGTGTGCACAGGAATACAAAAGACACAAAGATTTGTAGTGACTGTTTATCAGTTTTGGGTTTTTCTCATCGCTCTCTGCCTGCAGCTGTCAGCCTGGATATTATCACACTTCTCCTCCTCTGCTTCACTGAAGCATATTTCTCTCTCTGTAGCCTCGCGGTGCCTCCTCCACCGACTGAACACAGTGATCTCAGCACTTTCTTATCAGCTCACACGCTCGCATTCACCCTCCTACACCGTGTGTTTAAACAGCGTTAAATACACACTCTTTTGCCTCTTTGATATTTTAAAGCTTCTTAAAGTGACTTTAAAGGAGCAGGTGGGATTTTTGTCCTGCTTCAGTCCATTCTCTGCGAATCCTGTTTACATCGCAGTCCTGCCGAGTGCAGGCCAGTTTATTTGTTCAGGCTGTGTCTGAGCTGCAGGTCGACGGCAGCACGAAAAATTCTCATGCAGGTTTTCTCACGTCGGGGCAGCCTCTGTTTAATTAACTTTCAGCTTCATTTGAAGCAGTACGTTAATCCGCCAGAGTCAGTGATAAAAGCCAGCTGCATTTTTAATATTTTCAATATATATTTTTATATCAGATTATATCCTGTCCATTCATAGTGTGCACTGAACCAGTCAACAGGTGATTTAGAAATATTATGTGTATAAAAGTTCATTTCAGCTCATAATTTTTCAACTTTATAAATTTATGCTCTACATAGGAACCCTTTTGTTCATTTTTGTACCTTTTTACATCTGTATTTTATTTCTCTATGACTGCTTTTTGTTGCTTTTTGGTCATCTTTGCCCATATTGCATATCTTTGTGCTCATTTCTTATTGTTGCCGTTATCATTTTTTAATCTCCTTTTAGTCATTTTGTGTCACTTGCTCATTTTACAAGTGGTTGCGCCCATTTTTTTTGCCATTTTTATGGTTGTTTGTGCATCATAAGTCAGTCAATATGCAGTGTTTTTGTTCTACATACCCCTAACAGCTGCTGTCTTTGTTAAACTGGGTCATGTGAGCAGGTTACTGCAATCAGGTGAGCTCTCTGGCCTTCAGTCACTTCATGTTTTATCTCCTAGACTTTACAACCTGAAACTCTGCACACAGTCAGGCGTTGGGACTCGGTGGTGGTTTCAGGGTCATCGGTTTGTGTATTTGCTGGTCATGTGACCACGCAGTCTGTTCAACCGGAAACGTTTTTTTCTTTTTCATCTGTCTTCCATTTTCTTTGTTCTCAGCGATTCAATGATTAGTGTCTCTGAGCTAGAAAATCTTTCTCAGAATTTCCCCCCATGGTCCTCCCTCCCAGAGATTTCAACACTGGCTTGGATCAGTGTGTGTGTGTGTGTGTGTGTGTGTGTGTGTGTGTGTGTGTGTGTGTGTGTGTGAGGACTGTCCTCACTTTAAAACAGACATTTAAAACGATTTTTAAGGTTTTAGATTTGGTTTTGAGCTTCAGCTTTAGCTTATGTGCACTTAGTATGCGTGTTACGATAGAAATAATACAAAGGCATAATTCTGTATGTGATACCACACTATGGGGACTTGAACAGGTAAATAATTTAATGCTACATCTTTGTTTTAAGGTTAGCTTAACTTCTGACCAGTGTGAATCTCCAGGAATGACTTTAAACACTACATTGGTGAACTTGGCTGTTACAAAAACAAACTCCTACAAATGTTTTTCCCTCAGTTTAGTGATTAAAAAGGAAAAAAGTTCAGAGCAGGATCGAGCTGAGATTAACTGGTTCTAAACAAGATTTAGTATTGGTGCAAAGTCCACCAGTGATTAATGAACGTGCTTAGATAGGCGCACCTCAGAGTGCCTCCATTGTGAGAAATTTAAATATATATTTATATTTATATTTGATAGTAGGGATGGGAGCACTGGCTATTGTAGGAAACCGGTACCCAGTAGTCCAGGTCCTATCGATCCTGCTTATTGGTTCCTGCACTCGCACTACAATCAGCTGATGTCAGTTCGCGTGCCAGAGGAGGAAAATAGTGACACAGTCTGGAGTGTGGATGTGGACATTTATTTTTATTGCACAAAAGGACGAGATAAATGGTAAAGTGTAAAACTGCATCCAGGACAGAAACAACCGCATTATGCTGCTAACGCAACTTCGATGCAAGCATCTGCCGAGACAGCTTTATATTCTACAAAGAGAAAGATCTTAGAGACGTGTGTGTCCTCATTAGGGACTTGTGTTGCTGTGGGGTTGTAGCCTCAGGTTTATATTTTTAAATGGTGATAATGAGACATTGTGCTTCAGCCATATTACAGAGTAACATGAAAGTAACGAGTGTAATGAGAACTTTTTCCCGGGAGTAAATAACTGCATCATTTTTAAGAAAAGTGTTCTGTGTAATATGCGTAATAAGGATTTCTTGAGTAACAACTCCAACACTGATCATAACAAAGAGGTGAAATAACACGCACAAACATTTGACTGCAGCATGCAATTAATTTGCATGAATATTATTTCTTTATTGCTGCTTGGTGGTGGCTCAACCCAATGAGAATCGATAAGGAATCAAGTCGATAAATGATATTGATAATGGAATCAGAATCACTATATTCTTATCAATTCCCTTCCCTATTTGGTAGCATGGCTCGACTATGTACATATGCGAGAACCCCAGAGGCAAGGAGCGCAGAAGCACAGCACTCAGAACCGGCGTCAGTAACAACACAACATGGATTCATTCAGAAAAGGCCATAGCAGGAGTGCCTGGGGTGGAGGCGGGTTGCAGAGCGGATTGCACATGTGCAGCAACTTTACAAAGGTTAAAGCAACTCAAAGAGTACTTTCTTTAGGAAATTTGTGTCAAAGGTTTTCAGTTTGATTCAGTTTTCTGTTTGGAAATAGTGCATGTTGTACTGTGCTGTGGTTTCCCTCCTCCCCACTAACACTGCTACTGCCTGCATCACTTTCTCTTCATGCTAGAAATGGGAACTAAAGTTGCCAGAGTCCCAGACTTTATATGTCTTGGCAGGTGGGCAGGGCTACTTTAATCAGGTGCACCATTAGTCTTAGTTTTGAGGACAAAATTACAATTACAGGCAAGTGTACATTATACTCAAACGTTGCTCTGTCCAACCTCACCAACACGTTTCTGTGACGGTGTTTAGGCATCGATCCTGCCCTCACAGGACGCCTTTGGGTGTCACACAGGAGTGAAAACCAGATCACTGCTGTGTGCGAGTCTTTGTTTCTTTGTTTCTACTCTGTGCTGATAGACAACAGTCATGTGACCACCACAGGTCATACCAACACCCTGCAGATGGTGTTAATGTGGTTTGACTGTGGGCCTTTCTGCTCCTTTATTTAGCTGCACCAGCTGGTAGTTCAGCCAAGCAGAGTGAACAGGCCTCAATTATTAAAACTGAAGCACATGTATTATTACACAGCAGCGAGGAGAGAATACACAGCGTCGGCTAAAGTCTCACAGTTCTGAGTAAATCCTGTCCTAATCGTTAATTGTACTTTTTGGAAAAATATTTGGCAGGTTTCAGTGTTCTTATTTGTCATTTCAACTCAGCACCAAAAATATCATGATTTGTCCAGGTGATGTCTGACCATGTGACCTCTTTCTCTCCTTTCTCCAGCCCCATCGCTGATGTCTCACCGGTTCGTGACGGTGCGTCGTGGCAGCCCGGCGGCTCGCAGTGGGCAGATCCAGCCCGGAGACCAGCTGGAGGCGGTGGAGGGTCGGCCGGTCGCAGGTCTACAGCACCGAGACCTGGCCCAGATCCTGAGGAGAGCCGGGAACACACTGAGGCTGAGCATCACTCCTCGACACCGTATGAAAAAACACAGATACACTAAAAACACTTATACCTACAGTAAGGCCAGTAACTGTAAATAAGCCTTTTAGCTTCCTTTGCTTCACTTTTAAGCCAGCTTTCTTCTGATTGGTTACCTGAAGTAAACAAAGCAACTGAGCAGCAGGCGGGGCTTCTGTGCAGCTGGTTCTGGTTTCTTCCTGTTAAAAGGGAGTTTTTCCTTCCCACTGTCGCCAAATGCTAGCTCAAAGACGGTTGTGTGATGGGGTTTCTTTATAATGTTATAGGGTCTGTAGCTTACAATATAAAGCACCTTGAGGGGACCGGTGTTGTGAAATGGCACTGCATAAAGAAACTGAACTCTAATTACTGCTAAGCCTGTGAAAGTGGAGCTTGGACATCAAATACTTTACAGAGAGCTCTAAAGTTAGACACAAGGACATCACAGTATTATAGCTTATACTTGTATGGCTGCTACACTAGCCGTGTCTCTCCAGTCAGACACTAAAATGTTTTCCTTAGAATAATATTGCTTCAGCCTTTAATATCTCTGCCTCTCCCTCTATGACAGCTGAGGCTCCAGCCCCCCTGCAATCCTGAGTTGACTAAGCAGTTACGAAAGTGGATGGATGATGAAATATTTTTCCTAAACTGCTTAAATTAACAGATTTTGTACTGAAAGATAACACTTATCTTTCACGTCTTGATTGCCTAATTCTTAAATCTACTGTGATGGTAAATAGAGTCATCTCATCTCCCTTCTCATTGTCTTTTTCACTTCTTCCAGATTCCTCTTCCCTGACCGAAGCCGCAGATCTGGACATAGATGGTCGGATGATAAAAGGACCCAGAGGGAGGTCAAAGGTCGGTTTAACTTTTGTTTTGTTGTAATATTACTTTGATCGGCGACTGTCATCTTAAGCTTTCTTCACACATGAATTGCAGCCCCGAATTTGTCTTGACATGTGGTGCATGTGAGTGCACAAATGACCAGGTGTAGATGTTCCACTTTCCGCACATCCTACCGAGGACAGGATGTGCAGGAAGCACCACCTAAATCAGAAAGTGTTTCCAGCTGTGCAAAAGTGTCTGAAGCAGACTGCTTCCTGCTGTGTGCTACATTTACATCTAAATTGTCTGAAGTTTACACTGGAAGACAGCTGTACTGTGGGACTGTCATTAAAGAGGCAGTACTGTTTAGTATCAGCAGTATTGTCTGTCTGTGTCCAGCAGGAGGAGTCAAAGTTCTACAGCGTGGACCTGGAGCGAGGTCCTACGGGTTTTGGTTTTTCTCTGAGGGGAGGCAGTGAATACAACATGGGACTGTATGTACTCGGGCTGATGGACGGGGGGCCAGCCCAGCGCAGCAACAAGATACAGGTACACGTGTACTCGTACTATTTAAATACACATACAGGTGCAAAATGCAAAATCCTGTTCATCATTTTAGATTTAGGTTCAGGCTGAGGGGTCAGTCGTTAGCTGTTTCACAACAAAAGTCTTAGTGAGGAGACTGAATTCTTGTTTTTATTGTGAAAGAGGTGCAGGAAGTCTTATTGGGGTTTTTTCTTATTTATTTTAACAATAATCGTACCTACTGACTAAAACCCTTCATTAATACTTTAATGCAGGTGAATCTATATGAGAGGAAAATAAAATCTGTACACCTTAAACATTAATGTGAACAGACGATCACAGGCATCCATTAAAAACATTTGGACATATTTCAGCGTCCTGATGAAACGAATGCGATGAGAAGTCGGTAGAATAAACTCTGACAGTGAAACCATGAGCCTGATCCAGGACTTTCTCAGAGTTTCCGTCAACTGTTCGATTAGTAGATGACACCTTCTACCTGCTGAGCTGCAGGAGAGAAGCCTCCCCAGTGTTACTGCGTTTGTGCTGTGCAGAGGTTCAGAGATGCTCTATTAAATCTACTGATGATTCGTCTGCAGAAACGCTCTCTGTGATCTGTCATATCTGGTACTGTTAAAACACACGACACCGCTGAGCCAAAACACTGACCTCCAGGGGAAGTGAACATCGTTGGGTGTCAGGTAGGGACAGTCCAAGTCTGCAGGGGTGAGGACTCACCTCAGACTTGTTTAGAGAACAAGTCTGACAAACTTCTGGGGACTTAAAGGATCTGCTGCTGATATATATGGAAGTCCAGTCCCACTGGGAAGCTCGGAAGTTAATTCTTGGCTGGTTCAAGGTGATGCCAGATTTGTGGAGAAAAAGTGGAGACTCAGAGTTGGTGTGATTGATGCTGGATCGGGTCTAAACGTGTTTCCTATATGAGCTGAGCTTTGGGCACAGTGAAACAGCAGGAAATGCAGCGGAGACGTTTCCACTCAGACAAACATCACTCAGGATCTCCGTCAAGTCGTTCTTTGTGATATTAAACCTTCTGAAATATTCAGAGCTTCACTTTGTGCCTGCAGCTCTGAGACTCCGATCATCAAACATTCAACATCGCAGCTGCTCGAATCGTTCTGCTTCCTTTTTTGTTGTTCCACAAAAAAAGAACTTCACAGAATGCTCTGCAGCAAATGTAGCGCCCCCCAGAGGCCGAAATAGCCAACCTTTCTGAACAGTTCAAATCCTGATGACTCAAACCACCTGAATGTGTCATGTTTGTCCAGCATCTGTCAACTGCAAGTTGAACGTTTTTAAATGACACAGAGCTGAATTATGAACTGGATAATAAACAAAAGTGAAATAAAGTAAATATCTAAACAGTTTAAGCAGCTTTAGCACTTTAGATCTAAGAAGTAAAATATTGGACTGAAATATGGACTGAAAATAATAATAATAATCTGATCTGTAATTGTCTCTCTGATGTCTTGCAGCTGAATGTAGTTTTCAATACTGTCAGCTTCCTCAACAATCTACACAAAGACTTTTTCATTTCTGATGATTGCACATGCCCCTGCAGAGGATGTTTGTCGGTGCCTGAAACAACATATACTCAGTTTTATGCTTTATGCACTTTCCTCCTGATGGGAAACAAGGTGTCACCGTGTGTTGCAGGTGTCCGACCAGCTGGTGGAGATAAATGGAGACAGTACAGCAGGAATGACTCACAGTCAGGCCGTTGAGCAGATCAGAAGAGGAGGACATCGAATCCACCTCGTCCTCAAGAAGGGAAACGGATACGTGCCCGACTACGGTGAGACTTCACATGACACAGCTGAGAGAAAACTGGGAGACATTCTCTCTGCTAAGACTTCAGTTTCAAGTTCTTCTTGATCCTCTCTGAATTCTTTAATCTTTTATATCTTTTAATAAAAATGGCACACGGTGAAGTTTGACCCCAAAGCATAGAAGGATCACTGAGTCACTCTGGGCGTGTGTCCAGGGGCACTCTGTCTCATTATCCATCTACAGCTTACAATCAGCAAGATTAATAATAATCCTGCTGACAAATACACAGATAAACCAGCAGCACTGAAAACTGCCTGGACTCTTTACTGACTCACTTGCTCTGTTAAGACAAGAGACTGAGGAAATAGCCGGGAAAGCTCTAACTTTGACAGCCTGCCCACAGCAGCTGAAAACTAACTTGTTCCAGGAGAGTTTGCATTTTCTGACCTCACAAGGTCAGAATTTGTGCAGAAAATCGCTTTTGTGTCTCTAGCAGCAGGGTTGCCAACAAATCGCTACAGACCTTCAAACTTCATGTGGCCTTCCGATTAGCTCAAGATCAGTGCATAGAGAGCTTCCAGGAATGGGTTTCTATGGACGAGCAGCTGCATCCAAGGCTTACATCACCGAGTGCAATGCAAAGGGCTGGATGCATTGGTGTAAAGCACGCTGCCACTGGACTCTAGCGCATGAAGACATGTTCTCTGGAGTGATGAGTCACGCTTTTCCTACTGGCCTGCTGATGGATGAGTCAGGGTTTGGTGGTTGCCAGGGCAACGGCACTTGTCTGACTGCACTGTGGCAAGTGTAAAGTTTGGTGGAAACTCTTCTCATAGCTCAAAGAAACAGTAAAGCTTTAAAATAATAAGGTCAGTGAATTTGGAAGCAATCCGTGTAATTCCTAAAAGCTCAGGCGTCTGATTGCTCTCAGCGCTCAGCTTCAGAGCGTTTTTTCTTTTTAGGCTCTGCATGATGTCATCAAAAAATAGAATACCCATCCTAATATGGTCATCTCAGCTACAGAAGCCCCTCCCATCAGGTTTCATAAAAGGGGAGGAGTTAAAAAGTTTGTTTCAGGCAGCTTGAATAGCCCGGCCCACTATAAGATAAATAAGGATTATTTTGAATTGAGAGTTATGCAAAGCTACTCTATTAGAGTTCAAAAATAGAAATATTGAGATGGAAATAAGAAGATGTTCATGAATACTCTGTTGAAGAGGCTTTTGTAAAGTACTCCCTCATCACTGACCTTTGACCTGCTTCCTCGGCTCTCTCACTGTTTGACTTAACTTTCTTTGACTCTCTTTTCCTCTCCTTCCTCTTGTTTTTCCTCCTTCTCCTCCTCCTCAGTGGAGCTCTCCAGCCTGTCTCTCTGTATGACCAACTCTAAACAGGGGGAACCCTGCTTCTACGTGATTGGACGCACTGAAAACACGCGGTTGGTAACTCCGTGTTTTCCCATCTGCTTTCATTTTCTTCACTTTCACTTCATCAATCCTTCATCTTGACTGATCATCAGCTGCAGTCTGCAGCATTATAGTCACATGTGAATAGCCATCAGATTACTGTACTGAGTATTTTAAGTGTTATTATTTGCATGTAAAGCGCCACACATATAGGTCCAGTACCTGATAGTGAGTAACCTGACAGTTTTATGTTGTTTCTGTTTAAAGGTACATTACCACCATCTTCTGGTGGTAGTAACATATTACAGCCAACCAGGTCCCGGTAAAAACCCTGACTGGCTTTAAGGTGTAGTGGTTAAAATATTTCTTACATGCAGAAAATCCCCAGTGTGACACGGAGAAGTGACACAGACTGAACTTTAGACGTTAGTGCCATCGTGTTGGTCATTTACACCCAGATTCAGAGGGGTGCCAAGTTAGCAGCTAATGTTAGCAAGCAGATTTAGATACCTAATCACTGCTGATTAAGACATTTGAAAAAAGTATTGAATTTCTGTGACCAGAACTGGAGCAAAAACTTCACGGACACCTCACAGCAGGCCTTATTATGCTGTTGATTTCATTAAAAGGCATCAACACCACAAACACAAATGAGGCTTCCAGTTCAGTGGCTCATGATGGGAGAGGTGAAGCCCAGCAATCATTCGTTGGTTACACGAGCACACCTGTCCACCAAAGTAGCCACGCCCCTAACAATAATAATTAAAAAAGAGCAACTTTCAAAACAATTCGACTACTTTGCATTAGAGAAACTGCAGATTTGGCACCTCAGCTTCATTTTTCAGCACTGATGTTTGCATATTTGCAGCAATAGAGAATGTGTATTCTAATTTAATAGAGATATAAACCTTCAACAGTCCCAACATCTGAAATGTTTCTATTGTCATATCTTGGCTACATGATCATGAATTTCTGATTGAACCTCCTGCTTCATTTGTCCTGGTTGGGTTTGGTTCAGAGTCTGAACACAAAGCTTCAGACTTTCATATTAGACCCTGATTTTTAAAAAAAAGATTGGAAACATCAGCAGGGCTGGCAACAGCAGAGGTGCCCGTTGGTCACTTTGGTGGGATTTTTTTTGACAGAAGAAAAACCTACTTTTAAAAAAATAAACAAAAGGAATAACCACAATAATTACTTGCAGATATTCAGATAATTATATTCTGTCTCTGTTTGTCCATAAGGCCCTGAGGAAGGAGCCCTCTCCCCCTCCTCCTCTTCACACACCGAGGAGCTGGATGTGGATACGATAACCATGACAACTGCCTCCCTCAGCCAGGAAATGAGACGAGGAAGTGGTGCGGGAGAAGGAGAGAGGAGGAGGAGAGAGAGAGAAACCAAAAGAAGAACAGGAGGATTAGGATTAGGGCCTCCTGCTCTGGACCTGGACATAGTGGAGGAGGAAGCACGGGTGCTGGAGAGGAGATGGCAAGAGGAGGAGCAAAGGGAGGAGAGGAAGAGAAGAAGTCAGACTGTCAGGCAGATGAAGCAGGATGACCTCAAGGAGCAGGGGAGGAGGAGCAGGAGCTTACCCAGGAGTGATGCCCACCTCAGGGACTCACCTCTGTCAGAGGAGTCCAGAAGAGGAGGGGGAGAGCGGGAGAGGAGAGAGGAGAGAAACAGCAGCACCAACCGCCGTGCAAAGCATGCTGGGAACTCGGCTGCATCTCAGAAGGCAGCGTTCTCCTTCCTCATGCCATTGGACGATGACAGACATCTTTCCGACAGCGAATCAACATCCAGTTTTTCGGAGATGCACCTATCTGCAGCAAGCATCGCCACTGCTGGCTCGAGGGAGGAGTCTGATTGGAGGAGAGCTGAGTTGCCGTTGCAAGATGGAAACGGCCCGGGCCCTTGGCTGAAGCCGAGCACGCAGAGACTGACGCGGGTGCTGACGAGCAGTCAGATCCGTGGGCGGGGACTAGCGGGTGGGCTCTCTCTCTGATTGGCCAGCTGTGAGGGCATTCTCCTCTTTTATTTGCTGATTTTTTTTTTTATTGGCTACTTATCAAGGGCTTTTTTGATTGGCCTGCTGGAGAAGACACACCTCCGTCTGTGTCCAACTGGATGACCACAGAAAACTCTGTTTGTAATTGGCTGGTGGGTGACATAACAGCTACACAGACCTGCCGAACCAACACCTTTAATATTACCCATCATGCCTCAGTACATCCTGAGACCTGTATCATAAAGCTATATCAGGCCGCCATCGCCTGTCAGACAATTTCAACCCTCCACTTATTTTATCTTCCTCTCGGGATTCTATTTTACTTCGACTTGATTCGAGTAACATCCTAATACGGGTTAGGGTTAGATTACAGCGATTGAAACATTCACCAAATCACCCGAGCTGCCTGTGGACAGCTGAACTCTTTGTGATACAGGCTCCTGGTCTGCAGACCTGATGTGACGTTTCCGTGTGAAACATCACGTCTGCGTTTCATGGCTTCATCACGACCATCTTCACTCGCATCCTTCCAACTTCAAAATGGTATGCAAACAACATCCGAACCGAACAACGGCGCTGTTTCGTGATTCTCTCTGTGTAATCTGAGCATGTGAATATTACTGGAATGATTTTTTTATTTTTATAAACGTGTAACAAAATTATTATTATAACGATATTAGAGATTAAATAGATCCAGAGATGATTTGATTTGCCTGCTTGCTTGTAAAAATGAAAGGAAAATAACCTGATGATGTAACAGAGCCATACACACGCACACACACACATACAGATGTCAGGTCCAGCTGTGGTCCTGTCGGCTGTCGAGGAACATAACATCACCATGGCAACATGGCCTGTCTCTATAGCGACAGCCGCGGAGGAGCAGGACGACCTGCAGCTTTGGATCATAACAAGTGCCTCGTTTTGTTTCAGCCTTCGTCCTGCAGACTGTCGCTTCGCAGAAGCTGCAGGCAGAGACGCACGCCGTCACTTCCTGCAACACGTCAAACAACGCCAAGACCTTTCAGACACCAAAATATCCCATCATGCAACCGCCAATACTGACTTTAATGCTTTTTATAATTGAGACATACTTGAGCTAAGAATCAGTTTGTGTGCCACAAAATCAAAACGACCCCTCATGTTATCTGAATGTGTCTTCGCCTTAACTCCAGAGGTCCCAAAATTAGGGCGGCAACTAATTATTTTCACTACCGAGTAATCTTCATTGATTTTTTTTCCCTTATAAGATGTCAGAAAATAGTCAAAAGATTGTGCTGTAACTTGTCCAACCCATAAATGCATCTTCAGAGGCCTTTTATGGGTTTTCTTGTTGAAAGATGTTTAATTTACATCAAGTGAATCAAAGGAAATCATTAAATCTTGACTTCTTTTCTTCAGGCTTCAGAAAATCTGGCATTTTACCAACTAATTAAATTTATCGATTGATTTTGTAGCTCTGTTTAAAACAACAGGAACAAAATTTACACAGACCTCATCTGTAATCTATAAAATCCCAAAGTTAAATTAAATATAAATGGGTATATCAGATATCTGCACCCTTAAGACATTTGTTAAGAGTGTGGAAATAGTTCTGTCATTTTATAGACAAATCAATGAGAAGCAACAGTACAGCCCTGTGTTTGCCATTTGGACTGAGGGTTGGTGTGCACTACAGAGATGTAAATAATATTAAATTAACAGATAAAACCAAAACACTGATTAATGTCCACAGGATAATGTGCAGTGACGTGATGTGAGACTGTCAGTGCATTACCACATGCATGACGTTCAGAGAATTTCAGCCTAGAAGTTCAAGTTGAATAGTGCAAACAATCACGCACACGTCTCCGCTGAATCGAAATAGCAGAAGAAACAGTGTCTAGATTTTTCTTTTTGTTGTTCACGTAGCAGGTTTTTTAAGCCACATTTAAAATGTTTATTTTAAAGAGTTATTCACGCGAGAGTACTTTATTTAAACAACTAATAACGCTAACAACATGGTAAGGCTCCTTTTAAGGAGGACCTATTCTGCCTTCCCTGAGGTCTCGTAACAAACCAAAGTATTAAACATGTCGAAGTAAAACATGAAAGCCAAAAAATATTTAGAAATTAGTAAAATTATTTATAACAAATATTTTGTTTCTATTTTCACAATAAAATTGGCCAATCACACGGAAGTGGCTGTACAAAGGAACAGTGTAAGATCGGTAAAAGAAAACTATAAATCATGCTACGCTACGTTAGCTGAGTTCCCGAATAAAGACCAAGAGCTGGAAATGAGCAGAATAGGTCTCCTTTCAGAATCACACCGAAGAAATGTAAAGTTTTTAAAATAAAAGATTATATGATGTAAAAATAATAAAATGCTCACTGCTCTCTGCGGACAAACTGCAGAACAGTGTTTTCACACCTTATTTGTTGTCATTTATGGGCCGATGTACAGTACGTGCTGATGCTGATGTGTCAGATTAACTTAATGTTTTCAGTTTGTGCATCAAAACTCATCCAAAGACTGTTTATGAGATGAAGAAGCTTCACTCTGTAACAAAGCTGTAAAACGGCTCATTTTAGACCAATGAATGAAAACTATTTGTTGTCCAGACCCGAAGATGAAGGTTTTTTTTGTAAATGTCACCTTTGGACTGTTGAAACGATATTTTAAAAACATAACCGTGAGCCGAGGAAAGTTATTTCATTTTCATAGACAAAACTATTAATCCAAAGCATTTTTCAGCAGGTTGTTAATCAACATTAAAAACAGCCGTTAGCTGGATGAGCTTCTTTTTGACAGAGTGAAACTTCATCCTCCTCCAGCTGCTTGTGTTTCAGGACAGTTAAACTTGATGTCAGATCAATATTTGAGCTGATCAGGGTCACAGCTTTATAGAGGGAAAGGGAATATGACGCTTGCGGAAAAAACAGGGTGTAAATATCAGATTTAAAAGCACCTGTTTTGTTTCAAAGATCAACAGTAACCCTTCCCTGTAACAGGTGTTTCTGATTTCACTGTTTGTTTGTTTTTTAAGCTCAATCACGTCTGGAAACAGCTGGACTATTAGTGACTAACCTCAGAGTAAATTTAAGAATATTTTCAAATATGACTTCAAATACAGATTAACCTGTTATTGCCATTACATCGGTTATTGGCAAGTAATTTTTAAGTAGCAAATCAGACTTTATTTTCTATTCAAAGCAAGCTCTCATATTGAATCTATTAAATAACAGGCTTGCTGCTGCATAGAGGGGACAATAACCACTTAACCCTTTCTGATGCCAGAAATCACATTTGCAAACGTTACATATATGCTGACTTCACTGACCTTGATTTGCAGCGTAAAAATGAAAAAAGAGAAGAAAGAAGTAAAAATTGTAAAAAGTCTTTTTAATGCATGCCCTGTGAGGGGTTAAGCACCAGTTCACAAATACTCAGGATTCAGAGCCTCACTGAGGTCACGACAGAACATCCCTTTTTCTGCTGAGGACAGTTCACTTCAAAAATCAGTTTTACAGATTTTCTTTCCTTTGAGCTGTTCATCCTTCTAGATGTCTTTGTTGTAAATCGCACAGTTTTGCAGTTTCTTATAGGAACTGCAGGATTTAGAAATCCAACTGCATCACTGTGCAGAAGGAAGAATGGCTCTGTCCATTAGAGAGAGGCAAGTCCTAAACTATACGGCCAACTGAAATCAAGACTGTAAATTTAATAATATTTATTGCTTTGATGTGCTAAAAAATGCTTTGAAGCTATAAACCACACAAAAATAAATAAACCAACACCTCATCCATCGATCCATTACATCACTTGCATCATTTTAATGTCTGTTTCTATGTTCCATCCACAGGCTTAGCAGTTAAACTACAAACACCACAAACCCCTGTGCTACCCTTTAGCCCCACCCTTCTGCCTCCTGTCTTTTAGGGCATTAGGATGTTTGTCTTCTATGCATTTTCTAAGACTGTATTCTAGTGACTGATTCCCTGATTGGTGCGAGCAGCGCCTAATCACAGGATCGCAGAGTCTGGACTAATGATTCTAACAAAGGATCTGATCATTCAGGTTCTGGTCCAGAGACAACCAGGAAAGAGCCAAGTTCACGCTGGACTGAACAGTTTTACCATCAGACCTGCTCCCAGGCAGCAGGATGGAGGAACGCCGCTCAGCTGTTTGCTTAATGCAGTTTTTATCTTCAGCAGTTGGCTGTAAACACGCAGAAGTGACTGAAGCAGCTGATCTGATCCGTCAGTGATCGCTCGGTGTCTTTAGATCCAGTCTGACTTTAAAACTGAGCTGGACCAACATCAGCTCAGGTAGGCCAAGCTAACTGTCTGCAGCCTTGTTCAATAAACAAGCTCATGTGAAATGAACTGATTATTTGGGAAAAGATCTTTATTTGCTTTCTGTTCTCAGGTCAGTGCCGGATAAAATTGCTTATCCTGACAGCTGAAGCACAGGATAGCAGGCTGAGGATACTGAAACATGCATGACAAATAAAACATTCAAATTTAAAGCAACACTGTATTGATAAGCATGAGCAAACAAGCAACCTCTATGACCCCAAGAGTTGCTGGAACAAACGTCATAATTTCTTTTCTTCTGGGTACTAGCTCATTCACTGCCATTGACGTCTATAGCCGTCAATGGCAGTGAATGAGTCAATGGGTTTAACTCATTCACTGCCAATGGCTGGCAGTGAATGAGTTAGGCACAGGTGTGATTTTTAATCATTCAAAGACTCATTGTGTAGATATAGAAACTGCATTTAGACACGTGTGAAGCTAACATGTTACAAGTCTGCCACAAATATCAGTTTCAGGTGGAAGGCAATCTTTGAAGAGTACAGCCTTTTACCGTGACTATAGAGCTGATATTAAACCAAGATGAGAAATGAGTAAAAATCCATATTTGATTATTTGTTCAAATAAGGCCTCGTTCACATGAGCATAGAGTAAAGCTTTATATTCAAACACTTGCTAACTCTCCTCCGAGCAGTAGTGAAATTTGAAAGTGTGACACACACTTCACATAAAGGCCAAAACACAGGGGGCACACACCCACAGTGTCCTACTGACCTTACTATACAGATGGCAAACATGTCGGAGTTCATTTGAAATACACTATTTGTGCTCACACACTCCAAAGCTGGAGTGTTTCCTTGATGAATACACAAAGGTGGATCCTCTGTCTGTGGAGCCTCTCTAGCACACCGTCCAGGCATCTGCTAATAACAGCAATGTAAAAAAAAGGCGGCACACCTGCACCAGGGTAAACCTCCGCCTGCCCCACTCCTGCTTTACAGGTGAAAATAGAGCAACAGGACCGCTGAGTCTTTGACTTTATTTATTTTCTGCTGTGTTTTACTTGCATCTATTTGAAAGACTGAGTGTAAACACAAAAAATATTTTATTTTATGAGCTGGAATGTGCAGAAAAGAGGTTTAAATGTTAAACTAATTTATTCAAGTCAGAGAATGTTGCTTATAGTTTAATTTTTACTTGATGCATAAAGTTAAAAGATTAAAACTGATAAAACAAGTTTAAAAAAGAGACTTTTCCATTTGATTACATTTTGTATGATGGATTATGCAGAAAAAGTAGAATTGGGCTGAAAGATCTATCGCTCTATCACCTATTCAGGTTGTAAATCGTGTTTTTAAAAAGTAACTAAGTAACTAAGTAATTAATTACTTTTGAAAATAAGTAATCAGTAAAGTAACGGGATTACTTTTTGGGGGAAGTAATCAGTAATTAGTTACTGATTACTTTTTTCAAGTAACTTGACCAACACTGGTTATATAGGTGGGTAATGTTTTAACACACGAAGAGAGATCAACAACGCAAACAGAACACAGACAGTAACAGATAAAAACCATTTTATTTATTTTCACTGTCTTCAAGTTATTAACAAAGATATAACTTCCTGTGTGTGTTCTGGCTTGGCAGGATATGATGTAAGGGATAAGTGTTGATGCCAGTGAATAACGGACTTTAATGTGTCAGTAATGTCAGTATCAGCAACCTCAACCAAACAACAAAACAATACAACAGTTTATACAATGAATGAAGTGAATTTGAGCTTCACTTAAGTAATATCACAGGGTGTTCATCTCATCACCATTAAAAAAACTTGCATTTCATTAGGTTTTTGTGGTATTTAAACTTGTGATTTAACGGCCTTTTATGTGGCAGAGATAAAGGAGACATTTATCTCTGCCACATAAAGACACCGTGTGCAGCACAAACATTTTGAATCCACAGCAGAGCAGCAGACATGGCAAAGACTTGGAGGACCAGATGAACCTGGGGCTAACGTCTCAGTGCAGAGTAGAAGAAGATCACTGAAACCCTGAAACCTCACAGTGTCAGTTCTTGATCCAGCTCTCAGTAAAACAGCCGAGTTACAGTATCTACGCTACGGATGGGAATCGATAAGAATTTTGTGATTCTGATTCGATTTTCATTGGCTCCATTTTAAGAGTCACCATCGTCACTAAGCAGCAAGAAGAAATGACATTCATGCAAATTAATTGCATGCTGGAGTCAAACGTCTGTGCGTGTTTGAGGTATTTGCCCTCGTTGTTGTAGTCAGTGTTTAATATTACACAGAATACACAGAATGCTTATCGTAAAAGTAATGTAGTATGTTACTTAATTAGCTCTGGGAGCAAGTAAAATAGCTGAAACACTCTGTCTCATAATCACCATTTAACTACAGCCCCATGCACCAGTGCAAATCCCTAATAAGGACACAGACAGGAGGACTAACAAGTCCAAGAAACTGGAATACTGGGAACCGGTTTTCTACAGGAACCGACAACCTGCTGCTGCTCCAACCTCAGTGGATCGTCACAGCTCGTCCACTCGTCGTCCTGTTTGCTCTCATTGTTATACAGATTATCACTCCAACCTGCAGAGACAAGAAACAGGTGTATTAAATAAGTCACTTCAAAAGCTGTCACTCACTATGCAGCACATCTAGCCTGTTCACAGCTGCAGTGGAGGCGTGGCCTATCTTAGCCTATCTTAGTTTCTCTGAGCTTTCATGTCAACATGTACACTCACTAACCTACACGTTTGAATATCGAGTCTGTTGTTCCACAGTGGAAGTGAACTGTGAAGAGTCATAAATGATCCACGAACATCTTTTTAAAAAATGTATTTACTGCTGTTCAGTTTAACACAAACATCTTTGTGATGGCTTTCTGTAATATCACCTGGCTAGTAAACATGGAAGCAGCCATGAAAGACACTAAGCTAAGTTAGCTATGAAATATAGAAATATAGATCTGAATGTTATCTCAGATGTGTACTGTATATATTTGTATATTTGTTTGGAATTATTTCTATTGCAGTACAATACTGCTGAATGCAACACAGAGTGACTCCAGCTCTTTACTGACCTCAGGGTCTCCAGTCTATAGTCAGGACTTTCCTTAAGATCCAACAGCTGCTTCACATCTGGATCCCGTAGGTTGTTTTGGCTCAGATCGAGCTCCCTCAGATGGGAGTGGTTGGTCTTTAAAGCTGAGACCAAAAAAGTACAGCTGATCGCTGACACACTGCAGCCCTTCAATCTGAGAAATGAATGAAACATTTAAGTTTAGACAGATTTTAAAATTATAACCTGTTTAATAATCTGAAGCTAAAGACGGTATAGGATGTAAAAGGTTAGGAAACAGAGACTTCAAACACCTCAAACCAACAAGATATTTTATTCAGCAGAAAAACTCATAAAAAGTAGTTTAATATAACTGATAGATTCAATAAAGACACAATCAAACAAATCCTGTGCATCAGACAAGTCAAAAATGTATCCTTTCAGCCCAAGTTCATCAAGCCATAAAATGGAAATGTTAACAAAATGATGATCAATACTTATAAAACATTTTTATTTAAATAAACATGAAAATATATTTGATTGTCATCTGTCATTAATGATCCAAAAATGAGTCCATCACAGTCCTCTTGTTCTTTTGTTTTCTTATTCTCCTTGTTTCCTTGTTTCCTTGCTCACTTTTTGTTTACATGTGTCAGGAGTGGTCCTCCTTTGTGCCCACTCTCCATGTGAACTACAGGTTAACATGATTGCTTTAAGGTTGAGGAAATCATCCAGTTGACACCAGTTCATTGATCTTATCATGATAAAGTCTCACTCAGCAAGTTATCCCTGTGACTTTTTATTCCTTTTTTCACGATCTTTCCTTCGTGGAGACTCTTTCCAGCCTGCAGAGATCTCTCTCTGTAACCCAAGGAAATCAGCAATCCCTCCAGTTTTTAGCTGCTCCTCTCAAAAAAAATTGAGCGCATGTTTAAATTAAAAATGGGATTGATTACTTAAATAGTAAAGCTGAAAATCTTTACTGATATACATTATGTTGTTTGTTAAAAACAAAATCATCAAATCTTTGACAGCTGGATTCAAAATCACACCAGAAATCAAAGTTACGATTATTCAAGCGTTTCTTACTTCGTCACAAAGTAGTTGTCTGCAACTGCTTCCATTTTTGAATCGATATAATTAGCTGCCCTTTGACTGGGCTTCTCACTAGATGGCTGGACCTTGTATAGGCACAAATTAAAAAGTTGTTCATCTGTTTCAGGTTGTTAGCATAGCACTGCAGCCTGCAGCCAACCCACCTAAAGTGGGGCGTACACTCTGAGGCTGACCTCAAAGAAAGTGAGTTTAATAATGTTGCTTCACAGTTTGTAACATTTTATAGACTAAACTAGTTAAATTAGAGCATATTTATAAAATAATTACATTATTTAATGACTTAGCCGTCACCTTGGTTTTAATTCTAATATAACAAAATTTTCCGATTGTGCTTAATCTACTTGTTTTTTTTAGGTTTTCAGTGTGTTGTTCAACATTGTTGTGCAGCATTGCTATCCTGCAGTTATTAGACTGAAGCAATAAAGAAGAAAGCATTAGCATTAAATCCTCTGCAGACTGCCAGCCTACACATTAAACCTTTATATTTATATGACCACACAACCAAAACATTTTTGCCTGACCTGAGCACTTGCAATCTGCAACCTGGACTCTCCAGATAGCCACACATGTCCTTCACTCCTGAATCTTGCAGTGTGTTGTCACTCAGGTCCAAGTCTCTCAGATAGACGGGGTTGGACTTAAGAGCTGAGACCAGAGAAGCACAGCTGGCCTTTGACAACCTACAACCCTTCAGTCTGAATAAAGAATTTAAAAAAGGCAGATTCAGATTCAGTCATTTATAAAATACAGCAAATATAATGTATCTTAGTTTTAAATTTGCACCTATACTATAAATTATGTACTAATATACAAATCATTGCAAATTACAGTTGGGCCTGTGCTTTGTTCAACAAAGACATCATTTTTGTAGTTTTTCCTTTGTACACCACCGCAGTGGATCAAACAACCAATATGTGATTGAAGTGTGAACTTTCAGCTTTAATTCAGGGGGTTTAGAAATTACAGCTGTTTTATTAAATAGTCCCTCATTGTCAATATGATTCCTGCTGTCGACGGTGATCATAAATGTGCAGACTTACAAAAATCATGCACGTCTACCAAAAGTTACAGAGTACTGAGAACGAAACTTTATTTTTCTGTGCTTTGACTGCAGTTCCTACAGTGGCCCCTAGAGACAAAGCACGTAAACACTCCAAAACACTTGCAAACTCCAAAACACTTGCAAACTCCAAAACACATGCAAACCCCAAAACACATGCAAATTCCAAAACACAACGGAAGTGCTCCAGGACGCTAGGGGCAGTGTTGAGCTTTTGTTACCTAGTAACTACACAAGCCAGGAAGTACCAATGATCGGATTTGGACTGTATCCCAATTCAGGGTCTGCAGCCTTAAAGGCCGCATTTTAAGGCCGATTACGTCACAGCGACATGACTAAGGCTGTCCCAATTCAAAGGCTGCTCGAAATGCGGCCCTCAAATGCATCCTTAATTTCCCTGAATTTTAAGGATGGGTCGGTGTAGCCTTCATG